TAGCAAGGCGAACACATTGTCGACCGAAAGTGTTGATTTGAACCTAGACCCAAGTTTCAAAGCATCTTTCAGGGCAAGACGGTCAATCTCGTCAACCTGAAACCGCATATTCTCCATGATCAGCGCATTCATAAGATGTTCGTTGGTCAGGATAGACAGATGGTCATCGTTTCCTGTTCCTGAGGCCAAGATCCGGCCCAGACCTTCTGCGAAATCTTCCCAGTGTATCAGCGTATTTCCACTTTGAAGTATGGTCTCTTTAGAAGCAGCAATTTCTTGAATGATCCAGACTCTTTCAAACCAGCTATTGGTTAAGAGAGAGAGGAGTTCTTGCCATCCGGATAAAGGTGACGACTTCAAATTGAGGAGCTCTGTCTGATCCATCTGTGCCGTAGTCACAATTCGCCGGACAAGCTCGAATGCCTTCGTTGCTACTGGAGTTTTGCCCAGCCAGCCGATAGTCGATGTAGCCTCCTCGAAAATTTCTCGCATCAGCCCGACTTGTCGACTCTTCTCTTGCGCGTCGGCCTGGTCAATGCAAATAGAGTCAATCCATAGAAGCTGAGAAAGGCGCAGCCTCCGCAACTGTACAAGGAGATCGTGAATGCTTGTAGAAACTAGAAATGGCGCTCCATCTACGAGAATGATTTGTGGTTCATCTCTTGTAGCTGCCCAACGGTGAGACACTGCTCGATACGAGGGAGGTGAATCTAAGGTTGCGTGGATGATATCGCATTGCACTGGTGAGTTCCGGAAGCAGGGTTGAGCCCGAAGCCGAAGAATGCGGAATTCGTTTGGTCGTCGCAATGGCTTATGCTTGAACTTCGTCATTCGCATCGCCATTCCATACCTCACTAGATATACGCCCATTCCGATAAAAACAGCAACCTTTAGCGAAGTGCTGACAGGGAGCACAAAAGGCTCTGTCCTAGCTGAGGTCGGATCCATCTCGAGGGCTTTGATAAAAAAGCTCGTAAGCGCGAACCAGAGACACCCCCGGCGCTCCATGCGAAGAATCGGTGAAGCCTCTCCGCCATGATGTCGTAGCCAAAACTCCTGATGAGGGTACTGGTTGACGAAGAGGTGCATTGTATAAGCTGCCTGGAAGGAAACCCCCTTTGAAAGCCAGAAGATTGAGCACAGCAACCACTCGACGGCCACCACAGGCTGCAAATATAGGTCCGGCCCAGTAAACCATAACCAGAAGGAGTAATGAAGAACTTCGGGAAGAGTAGTAACACACGCCCATACGACTACAGCCATGATTATTCCCTGCCTTCCCTCCGGAACGAATCCATTAATTGTACCCCTTGGGACACTGAGCAGTAAACCGGGCAAGATTGGTGCGACAGCAGTAGGCCAGAAATCGGAAGATCCCAAGACTGTCTCCAAAGCAACCGATATATCGCGGAAGTCGAATAGTTTTCGGAACACAACACGTGCACCCGAGTAGATCACGGGCTTCAAGAAGAAACCGAGATCCTTCGGCAAGCTGGCGTACTTGCAACGAATCTGGCTGTCGGCGAAGAGGGCTAATGTGTATGGGTGAAAGTTGATGTTCGGAAAGTACCAAGCTAGAAAGGCACTTAGATAAGTCCAAGGATAAATCTGATTGCTTAAAGTTTGTCGATACTGAAGCAAGAGTGTCTGATATATCCACCTTTGTTGCGATGGCAAGCCTTCGTCGACAACAAGAGTGAAGAACGCAATCTTGATCATCTCGGCCGCGTCGTAGAAATTCTGCTGCAGCTTTCCGAGGAACTTTTTGTCGTAGTTATCTGGGTCAAAGTCCCAATCGGGATCAACATCCTGGTCGTCCTTTTCCTCATCTTCAATGCCAGCTCTCAACTTTCTGAAGTGCTTCACAAATAGTTTCAGCTTCTCCATCGCCTGTATTTTCGGCGATTACTTATAGAACCGAAATTGAGAAGTTTTGAATATCAGTGAAGGGTAATAGTTGATCTTAAAATCTAATGAAACTGATTTTGTCATATGAAGGTCGAGTTCGGGGAGTCGATCATTTAGTGAAAGATGATGTTTACCTGAGGCATAATCGTCGTCCTCAATCAGCCGTCTATGACGATCCATAAAGTCTTAGAGAAATGAGTCGACGAGCATTTCTAGTCGATAGGTAGCTTCACTTGCATGTTTATATGCTATCAGGTGATCATGGTGGTATTGTGGCTTGCCAACTCGATGGGAAAAAGATGGCTAGACTCGTGCGGCTGATCTGCACAAGCTGAAAAGAGCACAGAAACCTGCAGATCTGGACCTAACGCTGTTGTGAACTATGCATAGGTACGGGCTGATTAGCACTTCTTTGCACTCCGAGAACTATGTTGATTGGATGTACAACCGCCAAGGCGCTCACCGCTGCAGTTCTTCCAGTTTGAAATGGAAATTCACCAAAAGCCGAGACATTGCTCATTTTTAGGCATCCACACTGCTTGCCCGCTATTATCAAGCACATTCAGCGATTGGCTTCGCGTTATCATTCATCAGTCTAGAAGAGAGACTTTACACGTAAAGATGATCTGTCATCTCGAAAAATCATGCTCGACTACTTCAATGTTTAACACCTGCCCTTCACCCAAGCTATCGCTTGATCTTAATGTTTTCTCAGCATCCAACTCCAATGTGACCAGGGATCCCTCGCGAGATCTTCCATATCTTTGACGTGTCTATGATCTTCCCACAGAGAGAGGAGACCAGCATCTATCGCTAGGCTAGCATACTTTGTCGCAAGCCACGGCTCTCCAACACCGCTGTATTCAATTGCAGCAAGCATGTAGGCCTCACTAAGGAAACTCCAGTTGTGCTCTTGGTGATAAAGAGATATAAGAAGCTCGGCCATTTGTGGCGTAGCATTTGACTGAGGCGAGTGGTCCTTCAGCTCCTCAAGCAGTGGGTAGATTTGTGCTATTCGTTTGTCTGAGGCTTCAGTCATGAGATCAGGTTGTTTGCAAAAATGACAGCTACAATTGAAGCCCCAGTTGAAGTGCAGACGATTCTGCCTGTCATCACGAGATTGTAAAGGCTCGACATAACTGATTGTGAGCTCTTCGCCGGGAACGATGTCGCGAAGGGCGGTTGTGCGCTGTGTGAGAGTCCGAGGATCAAACCAGTAGTCGATGTTGGGGCGGCAATCGTGATTCAGGCGAGAAGCTAGACGTATTATTAGTACTCTATTTGATGGCAACAAAAAACATACAGGATGAAAGGGTCTAAAGGGGAACTTACTTTGAGCAAACAGTGCATAAAACCGGTCGTCAGTACGGCTGCTATTGGTGCTGATCGAGAACATATTGTTCTTGGCAATTGCAGCGACGGTAGATACCTCGTCTCCATGGTATCCATGCGTAGACAGATTCATGACCTGATTCCGATGATGGGAATTCAACAGGCCTACTGCATGAGCTCTCATGATGTCCAGCTGGTTTCGTGGCATCGATTCGAGTGCTGAGTAGTCAACCAGAAGACTGGCGGTCTCTTTGAGAATCACCTCACCCCGTGCGATACGTTCAGTGGCTACCAATCCATATTCTTTGCCAGGAATAGCCGCGACCTTAATCTTTGGCGATATCTGATTGGTACCCATAAGATAGCTTGGTTCGGCAAACCCCCGACTATTCACAATATGACTGGCAGTCTCGGCCTCGGTTATGACAGCCATGCCCTTGCCTCCGTAGTCTTCCTTGATGTAAATGCAAAATTCGGGAGATTCAAGCCCTTCTTTGAAGCATCGAGAAATCCCAGTCCAGAGAGAACTTGTTGGTAAGCCTGAAGAGTTAGACGAGACGCGGTCCCGAGCGGTGGTGAGCGGGTCTACAACATCCTTGACGGTGCAGATCAAGGAGTGTGCGAGAGGCTGGGGAAAGACACAGAGTGCGTCGGGGCCGGTATTCTTGACGTTCCCCAGAACATGGGTCAATCCTGTGCACAGGAGAAGCAGACACTTCATCGTAAGTTGTTGCAAAAATGGATGTCGAAAGCGCATGAGCTCCGGGGGCGTAAGACCACTCCTTGATGTATTTTTGCTCACTCACTCGTCTACATCTCCCTCCTCTTAACCCAAAAAACATATGATGCATGGGCTTGGGTCAAGGCTCAGAGTGGTATACTTATGCTGACTGACAAGTTGGCGAGCCAAGATTTTTACGATCTAGATAAGTTGTTGACTATCTGACTGTCTTACTACTGGACATTCTGACTGATCATCTGACGGCTGACTCAATACCCTGGCAGCTTACAAGCAGGGTGGTTACGTGCCCCACGCATTAAACTCTCTCTCTTCAAGTGACTCAAAGTGCATTCATTCCTCGCGACTGCAACGAAGGCTGGACTATCCATTCAGATTGCCCCCTGGTTGAAGGATAAGTCAACCCATTGTAGTAATTGCTACCCCATAGGACTATGCGAAAGAATCCCGGCGCGCTTTTGCTTGCAGTCGCATGGTTGTTCAACTAGTATCGCGCATTCAGGTAAAACACCTTACTTCTGTCTACCGCTCACTACATCAGACGCGTTGCCAAGTGCAAGAGGGGCATCCGTTGGGTCTTGAGTAGTTAGATCCATGAAGCCTCTAACATAAACCAGCTACCATCTTCTGAGACACATAACTGTCGAGAAAGGCCCTTCGTCAAATCCCTCATCTAGCCACATGCGCTACTTAGGCCTGACCTACTATAGTCTTTTGTCTTCCCGTCAAGGCGTGCAGTGTAGAATCGATGCGACAGCCAATGCACCAGATACCGAGGTGCATGCACTTGTAGCTGTGTGCGGGGTTCAGGTCACGGAATGCCATTCCGAAGGTTATATGCAAAAGTAGCAGGTGGGAGAGGCTTCATAGGATGACAAACCGTCATCATAGGTGCGAATGCCCCATGAGGATGTGCCTGCTCTCCATCCGTCGCTGTGTGGGCAATGAGGCTCGTGATCAATGCCCATAGGCGGGGATACTAATACAAGATGCGTCATGTAAGCCGTCCGTCGGGCATATATCATAGCAATGATGCTTGGGGGCTGGGTAAAACACGGACCTTGTCTCTCAAGATCCACGCGATCTCGGGCACGGATTCTATCATCAACGGGTCGTCGAGAGTTCCCATGAGTTGATCATCCAAGTCAGCCCTCCCTTGTTTGACTTCCTCGGCGTAAAAGCATTCAGCACCTCTAAGCATTTCTTCAATGAAACCAGATTGCTCCCATCTATTCCAAATGTTGGAATGCTCTCTGATCTCGGAGAGCAGAGTGGGAAGCCGCCGCTCGCGACTGGCACTCTGCTCGTTTGAGAGCGCAGGTGACTCGCTCAGGTCGGCTGTGTAGTAGAGAGATAGCACGGCATCCAAGCTGCTGAAGCCCAGAAGTTTTGCACAATGCTTCAGACAGTTCAGCCTCTCGCAAAGAGACGTAGTGCTTGCTATAGAGCCGACCCGTCCCCGTGGCGTTTTCAGTTCATTCTTCCCAGCGCAGGAGCCACCGCGAATACCCATGAACTCGTCAGAGTAGTCACCACGTTGGAAAGCTTCTGTTTCGGGTGGGGAGGAGAGATAACTGAGAGCGATATCGTTTCCCCAGCTTGGTATCTCACCTGGGGCCATCATCCCAAGCATCTGGTCTGAGGGGACATCAAACCTCACAGCCAGTGGATCTCCGCGGTCGAAACATCCCGGCGCCAATCCTTTATGGATGTCATTTGGCCTTCCCCCACTGAAGAGCCCGGCTGAGCTGGCGATTAGTGGTGGGTTCTGCGGTGTCTGGGCAAGAAAACGCCACATGGTCTCGGCGACTTCTGGGTATTGTGACGAGGGATCTTCTGAAAGAGACATTGATTCTCTGGACATGCTAGTTGAGCTGAGAGGAGGCGCTGTTGATGATGGCACTGATCGTTGTCCTGGGGTCGTGGGTACGCTGAGCGAGTCTTTGTCCCGGGGCTCATGCTCGTTGGCGGACAATTCTTTCTTCTCTTTGACCAAACTCTCAAGAACTTGAAGACGCTGTTTAAGCTTCTCACCTGCCTTTATTATCAGCTTGAGCTCCTAATTAGAATTGATGTCGAGACATACGGTGAGCACGTTGCGCGATTCGGTTCTGAATCCTCTTCTTCTCTCTCGGGTCAGATACTGCGGTCCAGTCATCCTTTCCTGAAACGGAAGAAGCATTCTCTCTATCCATTGTCCCTATACGCAATCAATGTATTCGACTGGAAAGTGAGTTTCTTGGAATCAACTTCAAAGCAGGTCAACAAGTAAGACGAAAGATGTTACGAGACAGTTCTGGTGGAATCTCGAGTAAAATCATGTACCAATGGCATTTTAAACCTGCATTTCCTAGCAGTATTCCCGCTTGATTCAAAGTTGCTAGGTCTTTATTTACAACTTTAGCGACTTTTACCAGCTTTCGCCTGCGAGGTTTATTTCCCGAGCTTGCAAACATCTTCTGCTTCCCAGCTCGTGTTTCTCCAAACTCAATACTACGTGAAGGACGTCTTTGGCCTATCCACTTAGCCAGGCTGTCTCACCAGGTTATTCTCAACTCCTCCAATCCTTGTTGGAGTCTTCAAAAGACCCTCTTGACTCGTGATTTCTTGCTCAACTTTGACGTTTGGTGTACTCGGATTCGCTGCCGAAATGTGCCCCGAAATCTAAGCATGGTCTGGGGGAGAAGATATCTCAGATATCATGCCACAGACCCTTGGGTTTGCCTGAGCTACAACCCACTTGGCTTCGGCTTACCTCTTTGGATGGTAGGTTCCGTCGGCCTTTACTGGTTTGTTTGCCGCTTCGTGGCGATGCGAGTGAAATGCAGTCAGAGATCCACAAAGTGGACCATGATCAAGCCAAGAGTCGGCTACGAGGATGGCGGGTTTCACGTCGAGAAGCCGACTTCTAGACGATAAAAACGTGGACTACTAGTCAAACTAGCACAAGTAAATGTGGTATATCATTGACTCTACCTTGCAGTCTGTACTGCCCAGCACTACGGAGGCAGTTTGACCGATATAAATAGCGGACTTAGTTATGACGGCTTTGAAGCTGCGGGACCGGAGAAAATGTACAGCCAGACCATTCCGATGTGGCACTTCGTAGAATTGTTGATACAAACATTACTCCGTATCAATACCCAGGCACGCAGGATACTGTTGCGGAGTTAATGCATCGGGTCAAGGATGAGTGAGCACTGAGCAATGCCCGTCCGAAGCTCCCAGCCGCCAGACATGACTCGTACGGAAGCGGCCCGCCCCGCAGACGCCGGAAACCTTAATCGAGAATCCTTGCCTGGGAAGTAGCAGAGTTCGATATCACAAACCATGTTCGTCTTTGAGAATTATGCCGAATGAAGCCACTCTAGCCGATAAGTCAAATCTGTCCGGCAAGACTGAATGCATCCTCCCGTCGGCTGCTCCACCGGGCCGCCTAATACAAAGCGGAAGCCACGGAATTTCGCCTACCACCCGGCCCTGGTCTTCGGCTTCGGATGAGTGGAGAGAAGGGCCGTTGCACAATGAGAGCTATTGACTTCTTTTTTCTCAGCGCTTAGTCGTCGGGCCGAAGCCCACACAGTCTTCTGAATAATATGTATCATTTCTGGCAACCCCGCGTAACTTTGGCTTCGGGTACTCCTTAGCCGCCCTTGGCCTATTGACCGTGCGTGAGGAACCCGGTCGGCAGTGGGCCAGCCTCTATCACCTCCTTCACGATCTGTATATAGATATAGCATCCGGCCTCTTGTGAACTCTATGCAACACTAAGTCGCACTGTCGAATAGGAAGAAGAGTAAAGGTTAGTAGAATTGGTGATCACTGGGCAAATGAAACTACCCAGCTGTGACCACCGGCAACACGTCAGACATTCGACCTTGGACTGTGGGCACTTGCACAAATCACAACTAATCCGCAGATTATCAGATATCATTTATTGGACAGAGTTTTGACCTGATACGTATATATTGATCTAAGCCACCACCATCCCGGCCCCTCCCACGTCGAACAACAACCCAAAGCCTTGGACCGAGGCCATGGAAGATTTGGAAATATTCCCAAAATTTACAATTGAGTAGGTTTAATACAACTATAGGTGCAGATGATATCTCATTGGTGGAAGCAGTCGTGGACCTCAGTAGACAGATACTAGAACCTCCAAGTTACGACCTGACCCATTCTTCAGTACACACATATACCTTCAATTCTTTCCCCTTATGTTGAAGCGTGCTGTCTCCTCATACCTCTTTAATCATCAATTGTATTGATCGATCTCTCGTCATGATCATCACAAAGGTGGCGTGATCTTGTTGCCCAAGAATGGATCGATTTCCTCAGTGAACACATAGTGGCCATCAGAGTCGAGAGGATACGACTTGCCTGAGTATCACGGACACATCAGCATGTCTCACAACGTATATAATGTGCTTTTCTTACCAAGGAATGGATGAACAATTGTGACATTGTCGTAAATATCGAAGTGGCGATCTCGAGCCCAGTTATTGACGAGGTCCCAATTATAGCAGCTATGCTCGGTCCGGAAGTTCGTCAATGGCCTTCTATTGTTGTCGACCCAGTCATATGAACCGATTGAGATGTCTGCTTTGCACATGAGAGCCATGCGAATGTCTACCAAGTAATTCATATGCGCATTAGCAAAATAATCAAGAGTGGACATTGAATGTTTTAGAAACCTCTTACTATCAACACAGTGATCAATATGATCTTCCAAATGACGCTTCAGCTTCACATTGCCCTTGAAGTAGTAATCCGGGTATAGAGCTTGTCGAACTAATTTCAAACAGTGGATTTGATGGTGGACGTTCAACCCGCTCCAATAATATTCGGTCAACTGACCAGATGCATCTGAAAGTCGAACAGAAGTCCTGTTGATTTTCTTGAGGTCTTCTGCTTTGAGTTTAAGATTGCTGTATAAGACGAGCTCGTCCCATGCAGCGTCTAATTCTGGTCTCGGCTTGCCTCGATAGACGTTACCATCCGTCACTTCGTTCATCCACAAGGATCGTTCTGGCTTCAGAGCCTTTCGAGCTGGTGCTATTGTCCGGAGATTGACTATCAGTACATAAATCAGAAAGATACGCCTAGAACAGAGTCAACTTACACCATACCATGGTCTGGTCGTCGGCACATATCTTCTCTTCACCGTGGAGGGAAATGACGAAGGTCAGGAAGAGTGCGGTATAGAACGTAAATACCATGAGATGGACCCAAAGATATGGTCGGCAGAGTTGATGAGATAGTTTGCCGGATCCCTTCCGGGGGCGAAGGGCGCCCTTTTCGGCGAGTAGGTGGTCCTCATACCCGGCATCGGACCCATTCTCGTTCATGATTTGGTACTCCGGTAGACCAGAGATACGAGACCAAGGCCATTTGAGAAGGTTCATTGTTGTAGATGAGAATTGGTCGCAAAGCTTTGTGAGAAGATGTGTGAGAACGTATCGTGATATCGTTATCGTGGTAAGACCATGTGCAGCCGAGACTCAAGTAGGACCGACTTGGAGGAACTTCGGCGGTCCTTTTCGAAATCAAGCCACACGATCCTACATGTATGACTACCTTAGTTCACTCTATCGAAAAAAAGAGTATGCCGTCGCGAAGTTGAAGTTTCGAAGTCTCAATCAATAAGGCAAGGTATATACAGATTGAATCTGACATAATACTTTGCGTGACATGAATCTAAGCTTCTCATATGACTAAAGTCCGCTTGAGTATCTGGTATCTCCACTCTTTCTGAGGACAGTGACAGCGCTATGCCGTCTGACAACTGACTCATACACTGACTATCCGACCATCTTGACAGGCTCGGCTACTCGCGACTGTACCACAACATGATGATCTCAGGTTATACCTTGGCATCTAGGTGATGTGTCTCAATGACATCAAACGGTGTTGCTGGCGGAGCTGACCATTTTCCAGCATGAATGAGATTCTGTCAGTCAAATGACAATGTTTATGGATGGTGATGTGACAATCAGTCAATGAACTTACAGTTTACTGGACGTCGAATACCATCTTTGAGGAAACCATGATCTGAACATGAGTATTTAGCTTCTCCAACTTGTCCGAGATAGTTCTCATCTCAACCAGCTCTCTACACAACAGCTTCCATCGAACGCAAATACACCAAGTAACTCACCAATAACCAGCCACCCACATCCACTTTCAAAATGAAGTTCTCTAACACCCTCCTGCTTATCGCCCCCTTGACTGCCCTCGCGGCTGAGACATTTGGTAAGTCTAACATTCTCTGATCACCAATTTACCATCGATTGAGAGGCACAATTGTCAAGAAATTTATCTCTCTAATACTTTAGTAGGTGCACACGGTGGTGCGGTGGCTCAGGCTGGCGCCAAGGTCCATCAGCGCGAGGAGTCCACTGCCTTCAGCCCTGCCCAGGATGACGCCAAAGCCTACAAGCGCGGCCAGGACGATGCGAAGGCTTACAAGCGCGATCAAGATGACGCCAAGGCGTACAAGCGTGGCCAAGATGATGCGAAGGCCTACAAGAGAGGTCAGGATGACGCGAAGGCTTACAAGAGAGGCCAGGACGATGCCAAAGCCTACAAGAGAGGTCAGGACGACGCGAAGGCGTACAAGCGCGGCCAGGATGATGCGAAGGCTTACAAGCGCGGTCAAGATGACGCCAAGGCGTACAAGCGTGGTCAAGATGATGCGAAGGCCTACAAAAGAGGTCAAGATGACGCCAAGGCCTATAAGCGCGGTCAAGACGATGCCAAAGCCTACAAGAGAGGCCAGGATGACGCTAAGGCTTATAAGCGTGGCCAAGATGACGCAAAGGCATACAAGAGAGGTCAGGACGACGCGAAGGCGTACAAGCGCGGCCAGGATGATGCTAAGGCCTACAAGCTTTTGTAAGCGGGGTCTATGGCCAAAATCTGAAGGACTTCAAGTTGCTTTGAAATTGGTAAGTAATTGCTATCTTTACCAATAAGATTGTCAATAAGCGATGAGACTGATTGAAAATTTTAGAAGCTGGCAAATCGTATGTGTTGCAGAGCAACCTGTGAGGGTCATACTCGACTATACCTTGCATCATGACCTTGTGAAATCAGCTGCTACCCTTCGCCCCATTGCCATCTACAGTTTGCAAATTACTTTGCAGATACCTTACCATTACTTACTATTCGGGGGTTCGTCAGTCATTCATGTATA